GAAAGCACATTTCTGAAAAGGCGCCAGGCTTGGCCTTCTTGTTAGCATAGCACGTATTGTTGGGAAGTTAGTCCAAGGTCCATGGAATAGACTTTATTTTTAAAGTGCTTTTTTCTCAATTTGATCTGACAGCTTAGTTTGGTTGGTTCTTTATCTCTTTCCTTTTTCCATAGTGTCTATATAGTGATTTTTAACCTTTGGCATGAACAAAGTTGTGTATCATATTTTCTTTCCAAACTATACATATTTAATTCCATACATGCTTACATACACACAGCATTTCACATATAGTTTCAGGGCTTCTGAGGACCCGGGATTCATCTTTTTAACTCAAAGTCAGTTCAAATATCTCTGAAGCCTTGTGGTTCAATTAGGCTGAATGAATCACCCACTCTATTAACTTATATCTCAACTTTGTTACCATAGTGATTGCATTTCTCTCTTCTGTACTAAAAGTGACCTCTCTCTTTTGTTTTCCCTTGAGTATCAAGCATATATCCTGAAACTGAGCCAATAAACTTTGTGTTCAGGAATTGATTAAATAATTGAATAAATTAGAGTGGACTAGATAATTCTGTGGAAATAAGGACCATTTCTGTTTTTACTGGACACTGTATGTCCAGCTTCTAACACAATGTCTGACACATAGGAGGAATTTTGTAAGTATTAATATATAAACAATAGATGATGTACTTCTGCTCATTGAAAGTAGCTGGTATGTAGAAGTCTTGTGAGTCTTTGTGAACAAGTGTGGGGTATTTTATAACAACTTAATTCTGGAAGCAAAAATGTCAATAGATATTTCTAATTGTTCTAACCTCATATTTCAGTTAAACTCTTTACTCCCACTTTCCCCACCCATCTTACAACTCACCCATCCCATATGCTATAGTTTCACGTACTCACCTTCTTATTAGTATTCACATATTGCAAGAGCTTGCAGTTCCGTGTCTTTGTGTCTATGTCTTTGCTCCTGTCATTCATATTTTTGATCATGCAACACCAATGTGTTGAGCATTTACCATGTGCCCAGTATTGGACAAGTTACTGGCAATGCAGATACAGTACTCATCCACCTCCAATTTCCCCCATCGAAGTAAGTTTTCTAGAGGAAGAGATAAACATGACAAGAGATCATTTAAGTTAGTTAAGTACTAGCATGGAGCGCAAAATGCTATAAAAGTGCAGGGAAGTTGTTTACACTTTTTTCTGTCCCTGGAGTGTCTCTCTCCATGTCTTTCCTCCTCCTGAATGGCTGTTAATACTCATCCTTTAAGATCCAGTTCAACTCTTTGTCCATGAAGATTTTCTAAACGTTTTCTGTTTGCTCTTCTTCCCCCACTTCCCCACCCCAATATGCCTTTCATTAGTATTCATTGTAATCCTCCACTAGACTACGTATCTATAGGTTAGGAACTGTGTCTTTTCCATTCTTGTGCCTTAACACAGTTTTTTAAAAACGGTAGGTTTGTTGAATGGAAACATTTGTTCTTATTTAGTCATGACATCCGCCTCACCCACATCCCACATGTCACCACGTGATTTATTTCCTCTCGGATCTCAGAGTCATTTCTTGTGCTGTTCTTTACCTATGTGCTGTGGTAGGTTGCTATGACTACCGTTATGTGGTTGAAAACTTGCTCCCCTGTTTAACTTCTCTCTTTTGAATTCAGAATGAGGAACTGATGGGTCAACTAAATGAATGACTCGTCTTCTAGTCAGATAGTGTTTGCTTCATAGTGGAATCCACTTACTGTTAACCCATCTCTTGTATTTGGAAACATGTATTTTTAAAATTCTTTGGGTATCTAGATCTTTGTTCATATCTTTTTTTCCTGAATTCCAAATGAATAATTTTGAAATCATCATCAAATTTGCAGGGTTTATTTTCAGGAAGAGTTTATTATGTTTAAAAATACTTTGAGTGTCTCAGATGCATGAAGGGTATAGAGAGGCAGCAACTTGTAAGAAATAGAGAAAGCTCATCAAACTGAAGGCTGACGTGAACAGTTCAACAATGCCCTGAGACTACCCTCACCACACACGTGTACACTTAGAACGTAAAAGATTTTCTTTATTTGCTTTTATAGCATGCTATAGGTCTAATAGCTTTGATTTTTTTTTAAATTTTCTTTTTCTTTTTCTTTTTCTTTTTGTTTCTTTTTTGGTTAAACTAGTTAATTTAACAATTTTGAATGATCAGCTTTTTTCTGAGTAGTAGATTAGACCCCAAGCTTTTTCATTACTTTTTATGGAGTAGTCCTTAATTTGAAATATTTGTCTAGAGCAATAACTTCCAAGGAAAACCTGTCCCAGACCTACAGGTTTATCTTATGGAAAGGAGAGAAAAATCCCAGAGAAACTTGACTTACACCACTGACATACAGGCCCAATGAGAGTCTTAAGCACATCCAGCTCAAATTTCAAGTTTATCCCCATGAGTTTGGAATAAAATGAAGAGAAAAGGAGAATTAGCAAGAAGACAACACATACCTGTTTTGTGTCGTCTTCCTTGCTATTTAGATATGTCAGATTCCACTTCTCTCTTAATGGTAAGTCCATGAGGGCTGACCTTTTGTTCTGTCCAATGCTGTATTCTCAGAACATGAAACAGTGCCTGGCATGTAGTTTATCGATCAATACCCAAGAGTGAATGAATGAATGAATGAATGAGAAGATTTTGAGTCAAAAGTGTTTCTTTATATTTTTAGCATATACTATGACTTCTAAAACAATGTGATTTAAATAGTTTTTACATAGTGGTACTTGATGAGTCAAATAGATTTTTTAGCCTTTTCTTAAGAAATTGACAAGTTTAGTACTAACAGCTTACTTCCTATTCTGAAAATTATGCTCTTCCAGTTTACCACTAATTGTAGGAATCAGCCTCATGGAAGTGATAGAGCCATATCACACTATTAACACTGGGGCTGGCCCGCCAGTGGGGCATATTTGCAGAACCACAGCATAATGTGGGAAGACAGTGTCAGGTGAGAGTAGGAGCAAGGGTCTCAAAACACGTAGGTCTCCATTCAAATTCCAGCTGTGACACTGCCACACTCTGTGACATTGGAAATTAGTTAATCTTTCTAGGGCTTTGTATTTTCATCTATAAAACGTGCATAAGAGCATTCCAAACTTGTTAAATTTGGAATACAGATTGAATGAGACAGTGGAGTAATATAGGAATTTAAGTTCATGTCTCAGTATAATTGTTTCAGCCTCAACTGATGGCCGAAGATTGGTGTTCATTCTTCATTAAAAAGCTAATGAAAGACCTTTATTCAGCTGTCTAAAAAAAAAAACTGTTTTAGCTCCACGCTGTATTATTTAGAAGATCTCTTGATCTATCTCATTTTTTTCACTTGTAAAACTAGAACATATTTAGTCTGATCTGTCCACTTCACAGGAACTTATGAATAGCTAAGCTAACAAGTGAGAGGAAAAAAATAGCTTTGACCTGTTTAAAAGGAAGGTGCCAGAACAATGAAAAAGAGTTCAACAGATAATCTAAACTCAATTTAAACCAAATCTGATATAAATTTATTATAAGACTACAGGGTTTTGTGGCCTTATACTATGTGATAACCTGAGAGTATTGGAATATTTTGCTGATTTGACTAGTGTCTAGAAGCACTGCTTATCAAAACAGGATAAACTGTATTCAGAAAAATACGTTAACTGAGTATATATCGGCTTCCTCTTGATCGTCTCCATGAATCAGAAGTTTAGTGCTACTCTTTAAAGGCATATTTCCTGTGACGAAGAATTACAAAATGTTCCACCTAGTGTAACTGTCATATTTCAAAACACATGCTCCAGGAATTGAAGAAAGACAACCTTGAGTATACAAGAATTAAAGTTAAATATATGAACACAGGAAATTGAAAGTACAAGCTGGTAATAGACTCCCAGAATTTTAAGATCTAAAGGACTTTAGAGATAAGCCAATTCTTTTTGACAGATAGTATTGATTTTTAAAAGAAAAACACAAGTTTTTCTAAAAGTTAATGTTCAGCACATATTTTTGTCACATATGATATATTGCTTTTTTTATTTAAAAGAAAAATTAATAAGCCAATTAGGGGAGGAGAGATCAGAAACAGGATTCTAGTGTTGAATGAAATATTTCAACGTCAAAATTTTGAAAGTCAAGAGTTATATGAAAATATGAGCTGGAGAAGAAATAAACTCAACTGTTTTTTTTTAAACTCTTTAGACTTTTGGTAAAACTCAAAATATCTTTTATTTTTAAATTCCAGACTCTGTACTATTCAATTATAAAAAATAAGAAAAGTAGACAAAAAAACACAAAAAGCGTTTGGAAATAACTGATGCAGTGATTCAGCAGAGTGATTAAGAATGCCAAAATCAAGGGGGAGGGTAGAGCTCAGTGGTAGAGTGCATGCCTAGCAAGCATGAGGTCCTGGGTTGAATCCCTGGTACCTCTATTAAAATAAATAAGTAAATGAATACACCTAATTGCCTCCCCTCCCCCAACCCCCAAAAAAAGAATTAAAAAAAGAGTATCAAAACAGACATCTAAAATGGGGCCTAGTTTATCAAAGTGACTGTATTCCTGAATTAACATAATCAGTGAAGAAATGTGGGAAAATGAAAAATAATTGCTTTTTAAATAGCAGAGCATGCATTTGCTTAAGTGACTTTAATCATTTTTTGAAGTTTTAGCCTTGCTTTTCTATTAGCATGGAAATCTCAGAATTCAAAAACTAGGACTTGAGACAGGAACCTTGTGGTTTTGAATTCATATTTCAGTTCAGAATTTTCCTTTTCGTCTTGCAGAAAAGATAATGAAGTTTATTGCATTAATTCTCTGGAGACACATCATCAAATACTTGACCAAAATAGTTTTGTAAAAAGTACAGCCGGCTTAGATATTTGTATGTTCTGTGCAAACTTGAATGTCTGTGAGTTTATGTGTTTGTATATTGTCTATGCATGTATGTAAACGGTAAACATTTTTTTCCTTTACTTCTTAGGGCTGTCATAAAGTACACAACTTTAATAATGTAATTCCTGAAGGCATGAACTTGAGTTTTCTCATAGCCTTGGTTTCAAATAATGGAAATTATACATGTGTTGTTACATATCCAGAAAATGGACGTACCTTCCATCTCACCAGGACTCAGACTGTAAAGGTGGTAGGTAAGCATGATTTACATTAAGTGCACACAACAAAAAATGCAATAATTTTGTTTTAAGCTCTTAATAGTGTATTACAATTAAGTGTGTAAATTCTAAAAGAAAAGCAGCTTAATCTTTTATGTTCACTGCACTATTTGCAGAGCTTCAGCAATTCTACCTACATGGTAGGCATTCAGTACCTGTAGTTCTACTGCACGAATATGTGAATGAATAAAGGCAGCTCGGGGAGTGAAAGAGTGCCAGACATATCTGTGTTCAAATTAAACCACTGCCATTTATTAGTACTATTAATATTTATCTGTACTCTGGGACAATGACTACCTAGCATTTAATACAGTTGAGAGTATTAGAAATAATATACATATTATGCTAATTCAGTTCCTGGCAAGCAGTAGAAACTCAATGAATAGTCGTTAATATTACTGTCAAAGCATTTTACTTGAATTAAGTAAGCTGTGTCTTTGTATGTATTGGAATACTTATAGCTAATGCTGAAACTGTTTGCTGGCAGTGTTCAACCAGTGCTTTGTTTTGGGAGTGAGAAACTAGAGAAGTGGAAAGGACGGCATCTAGGCAGAGTCAATAGACTCCTATCAAACCTAGAAATCAAGAGAACCATGGCCCTAGGTGGCATTTAGAGGAGAGCCCTAAATACCGCTGTGCCCACTGTATTAAAAATGATAGCATATCAGAGTGAGATTTTTTTCATACCCTATCTTACTTAGTAGATGGAAGCATTAAGGTCCAGCAACAGAAAATAATCTATTTAGAGAAGCTCCCTGAGTTAGTAGAAAGAGTGATTCTAAGTTCCAGGTTTCTGACTCTTTGCTTCGAGTTTTTTATACTGGTCTGAAAACAGATTCAGCATAATTTTTTTAAAGGGTTCAATATAGTGCAAGTAAAATTCAAATCGTATAATTTTGTAATCACTGCTTCTCTTTCTCTACTTACTTTTGGAATAATGCTGAGTTGGGAACTAATTCAGAAGAAAAATCAGACTAAATTAGAATCTAACATGAGAGGACTTTAAAAATCAAATGAATAATCTAAACATATATTCCTCTTGGAAATTTTTTCATATATATATATATATGAAATAAATATATACACACACACGCTTTAATGCATTCTTTTTTGGAAAGTTGGGAAGAGACACACATGGTCATCTTGATTTATAGATCTAGAAGTTGATAGACACAGATGTGAAGGATGTATTTCTCATCCAACTTTCAAGCAATACAAGTTTGCTTTTAAAACTGTGAAGTATTGAGTACTTATATACCAATAGGATGCTTTAATATGCATTACTTAATGTGCATTACTTAATTTAATCCACATAATGAACCTGTGAGGTGAGTGTAATTACTCTCATTTTAGAGTTGAGGAAAATGAGCTTTTCAAAGATTAAGTTAAAAAAAACAGAGTCAAATGGTTAGTATATGGCCAAGTCAAGATTAGAGCCCCCGTCATTAAATCTTTGAAACTTGTGCTCTTAAACACTGCACATGAAGCTCCTTCAGGGGCATCTTTCTTTCAGTTTAGGAATATAGAATGTTATAAAAAGCAGCAGTCCTATGAATGACCATTCAGCTGATAACTGGACACCAGATAGACTTGGGCGCTGACCTCACAATTGTGATTTTGAATTTTCCATTTACTTGTTCTTTAATTTAATGCTTACTTATTTAACCAGGTGCCAATAGACACTCTGGGCATGCTGAGGAGAACTGTGTAGAAAAGAAATAACTGAGTAAATTATTACACAGAATGAGAAAGAAGTCTGTCTCATGTAAGCTTTGGAAAGCAAAACCAGTTTGGATAAACGTTCTATCCTTAAACAGCAAGGATACTAGATATATTTGTTTCTTCGTTTGTTTGTTTTAAATGAAAGAGGTGTTGTAATTGACTACATATTGAACTTTGGGCCCCCTCAAGAATTGACAAACTGTGCCAGGAGGTTGGGTAATGCGTCAAAGAAGAGCAGATTTTTGATAGTGTTCTGAATTTGTCTGCGAAATAAAGTTTACGCGATTTAACGTCATCTTCCTTTGTTCTTTTCTCTCTATCACAGGCTCTCCAAAAGATGCATTGCCTCCCCAGATCTATTCACCCAATGATTTTGTGGTCTACGAGAAAGAACCTGGTAATTATAGCTGTGCCTCTGAATATCAGTTAGATTCTCTTAATTACAAGAAATGAAGTGTCACTTAAGCTAATGCAAGAGAATAGAGGACTGTTGTAAAGAAACACATGAATTGAAACTGAAGTGTTGTCAGAAACCAAGTCAGCTCTGGGGATTAGCTGCTTCATCCATCCGGTGGGCAGCTCAGGGATTCTCTGCTTCTCTCCCGACAGCTCCTTGCTTCTTCCTCTGCAAGCAGGGTTCCTCTCCTGATTAGCGATTTCTGTTTGATGTAAACTTTAGCTTGCTCAAGGCTTTGGTTTACCAAGACTTCACCATGGGCACAAGACGTCTTCTAAACTTCTGCCCCACTACAAAGGGGCAGGGGGTGGAACTGGAGGCAGAACCATGAATTCAATAAATGACAGCTGATAGGACTTGCACGATGTGATTCAGAACACTATCAAACGTTTACTCTGGTTATGTGGCTCTCTTTTTAGTTTTCATATCTTTTCATTCTTGACAAAAATCATTTGTAACTGACCAATAAGGCATAATTTGTTACTCTTCTGACTCAAAGCCTCTCACAGCTAAGTTGAAAGCCATATGAAATGTTAACATTCTCTGTATTGTATCCTTTCCAATAAATTGACTCCAAACCCAATGAAAGATATAAAAGAAAAATTGTTTAAAATGTGCTAAAGATAATAGAGGCAGTGTTCAACATAGGTGGAGAGTAACGCTCCCCGCCCCACTGGCCAGCCCAGAATTAAGGTAAGGTCTCAAATAATGACCTGTCTTGTAAAAAAAAAAAAACAAGAAACATACTAAGGGGGTCTGCCAAACCCAAATTTCCTAGAATTAATAGTGGCTTTATATATCAAGATGAGCATTCTTCCTACAATCAGGGTAAACCCTTATTCATCATCTAAATATCTTTCCTCCACCTATCATATGATGGTTGCAAAAGTATGCCTGAGTCCGTGTTCACTTGATCTTTCTACATATTGACATAGGCAACTGGAGAGGAAGACATAAGAACCATGTGCTGGAAAAGAGGATTAGAGTATGTCCACTCAGTGGGACACACCTAAGTTCAAGTTGAGATGACAATAAAATTTATCATCTCAACCTGGACACCTTTTGAGAATGAAAACAGTCAATTTTAATAACTAAGTAGGAAAGCAAGCATAGAACAGAACTGTCCTGGGCAAACTGAAACAGTCTAGGTCAAATCCTGGTCTCCCACTTATTAGCAGTGTCAACTTGGAATGTCAGAATCCAAAGAATATTTAAGCTTCAGTTTTTTCCAGCATCTGTAAAACATGAATTTAAAAAATATTTTATATTTTTTGTTAAAATCAAATAAGGCCACCAATTAATAGCCAAATATAATAAATATTTAGCACAGTGAATTATTCAAAGGTCTCAGTGAGTGAGCTGCTGCTGCTGTTGTTATGATGATTACGATCATTACCATTTGCTGCCTAGAGATCCCCCTATCCTCATATGCCAGCTCAGAAGGATAGGGTAGAATTTCTATTTGTAAATTGTCTTTAATCTCATTGACTGCACCCTAATAGCTGGAGCATTTCCAGATTCAGCCTGCCTGACCAGTCCTCTCATCTATGGCATTGTCCTGTCTTCTCTGGCCAAGGACCAAAGATCTGAAGACCCTTTCCTCAGTCACCCTTTGTTTGGGAGGGAAATAACAAAGGAGAAGAGCTGTCCATGGAGGTTCAGAGCTAAAAAATTGTCAGAGCCTTTTCGAACAAACACTGTCACTTTAGAGCATATATAAATGATATTAAAAGATGGACATTCTGATACTGTTATATAAAGTTGCTGCCCTTATGTTCCTGGTTTGTTTTGCAATAAGAATAGTACATTACCTTATGGTAGCCCACTTGAAAATTAGTCAGAAGTAGGGTTGCAGGGGTATGTAACTTTCATGGCTTCTGATTGATCACAGAGTGGAACCTTGTAAAGGTACACACTGATGAGTTAACTTGCTTTTTTTAGGAGAGGAGCTACTCATCCCCTGTAAAGTCCATTTTACTTTCCTGAAGGACTCTCGCAATGAGGTTTGGTGGACCATTGATGGAAAAAAGCCAGACGACACCACCTTTGACATAACTGTTAATGAAAGGTATCCTTGACACAGGCAAGCGGGTGACTAACCCTTGTCCCTCAACTTAATGCCTTCTCATGTATACTAATCAATGAAGATTAAAATTCTAATTTTTGCCTATCATTAACAAAAATCAGCATGAATTTCAAGTCTTTATTGGCCACATCCCAAAGCAGGATTATTGGACTTGGCAGTCCTCACCCCAGACTCCACCTAATGACCACATCTGTATGATACCCACCTGAAGGTAGATTGGGGGGGGGGTGCATATCCTACATGAATGAAAAGGCCACAATTATGGGGTTGTGGATAGATGAAAGCTTGCCAGCATGGTCCTGTTTTTCTCAAATCTGGAGTCTGGGTCTATGTATTTGTGCTTCAGATAATTGTGTTAGTTTCTTGTCTTGCAGCAAGCATATATTTCCTATCTTCCTCCTCCTCTTTCTTAATTATCATAACATATATATTGCATTTATAATTGATAATAATTTTTGATATTGACTAAACACATTCATGTTCTTTAAACTTTACTTTTAAAGTAGATGGGGTAGTAATATAGCTCACTCTTAAAATAACAAGCTGGGTCATTTTATTTCTAAAAACGTGACATTTTTTGAAGTGGCTTGAGTTGGCAAGGAGGAAATATGGGTCTTTGAAGACAAAAGAGTCCCCTGTAAATTAAGCATGCAGCTGCAGGAGAGCAGCTGGGTAACTGCAACAATTAATAAAAATGAGCAGCTGACTAACTACATGACAAAGTAGTTCGGAGAACTTAAGCCTTATCACCATGTGTAAATAGATCTGAGGCTACTTGAACTTCCAGTTTTTAAAAGGTATTTATTCCCTAGTAGTAAACTCAGACTTTATGCAGAAATTTATTGATCATTTCAGGAATTCTGAGCATTCTGCTTCCTATCTTCCTAATAATAATAAATGAATAGTGACCAAAGTTACATTGTTTCTCCTTGCTGTTATTGAAACACATTTCTCTGCTCATAGTTGAGCAGTGCAATTACTTAGGTTAAATCCATCATAGCCCTTTACCAAGTTTTCACGACTGATGGTAAGCCTGATCAGAAGAACCCGGATGTCAGTCAACTGTAGGAGAGAGAATGTTTTTCCCCTTTTGAGCAAAGTAGTTCAAAAGGATTTTAAATCTTCATCTTGGACTCAAAGCAGTTGATCTCTGATTTGCTGAGGATTTGTTTACTTTCCCTGAGAAGTTTCTTATTTTCAGAATATAACCGTGAGTTTTCAGCATTTTGACCAAAATGGTCAATGTTCAAAATCCAAGTTTTGGGAATCCCTGAAATGCATTACCTATTACTGTAGGGTAATAATAATAATAGCTTATATAAATATGTATTAAGCATTGTTCTAATTCTTATACATCAACATATTTAATCCTCAGGATTCTTGAGTAAGTTAATACATGTAATGCACTATGTTGGCATTGCCACTTTCCTCCTTTTCAAAGGAGGAACTCAGACATGGAAAGGTTAGTTACCTCACCCAAAGTATATAACCAGGAAGTGACAAAGCGTAGATCAAAATCCAAAGGGATCCGACCTCAGAAGCTTATCTCTAAACTGATACAGCATTCTGCCTCAGATGTTTGTGGAAGGGAGACGTTTCGCTTTGAAGAGAGATCTGTAGTATGATGCTAACACTGGGAGCTGATCGAGGTATTGAAATTGGGTGTAGTGTAGATGGTAAAGAGTGGTATTGGAATCGAGATGCTGGTCTTCTTTTGTAACTACTGGATTATAGGCAACACAGTTTATCAGCATCGCCCTCATATAGGGGTTCTGTGGGTGTCTACTTGTCTGGTTCCCACACGACCATGGGCTTCGGTCTCACTAATGCTTTGATTTCTTTTCTCCTATTTCTAGCGTAAGTCTGAGTAAAATAGAAGACGAGACAAGGACTCAGCTTTTGAGCATCAAGAAAGTTACTGCTGAGGATCTCAAGCGCAACTATGTCTGTCATGCCAGAAATGCCAAAGGGGAGGTTGACAAATCAGCCAAGGTGAAACAGAAAGGTAATGGATGCATTCAGCGGATGAATCCGTGAACTCCAAATGTAACATTGTGGTGAATAAGGAAAAAGGAGAAATTGAGGAGAGAGTTCCAGCACTTAGCACATCTGACACATAACAATGAATTAAAGTTGAATGAAACATCTTGAGAGAAAGTTTCCATCTATGTAAAGATACTCAAAACATAATTTCTCACAATTTTAGTAACTTACTGCCCAAATGTGAGTTTAAAATTCTGTATGATTACGATAATGAAGTATAGTTTTATATCTATACAGTAATGAAAAATAAAATATTTAAAGCTACCAAAGATATAATAAAACTGATAAGAGTCACATATTGTTGGTGAATTGTAAAGACCCTTTTAGAAATCATTGATGACAGAGTTCAAGAGTCATAAAAATGATCATACCACATGACTTAATACTTTTGGAATTTTTGCTGAACAAATAACCTAACAGAAAGGGAATTACGTCCCCATCGATGTACTTAGAAGCATTATCTCTAATAATGAAACACTATAAATAGCAGTCATCTAATTTTGTGCAAGTAGTTAAGTAAGATAGAAAATATTTATTCTCAAAAACATAATTTTAAAATGTTGATTTTAAACACTATGTATCAATATTCAAGCAGGTTTATAATACACCACTAGCCAGAACTGCTAAAATGAAGGTTACTTAAACTATGACTTAAAATGATGTAAAATGATTTCTATGTTGATATTACCAGATTTTCCTATAATAAATAAAAATTATAAAGCTTTCTAGTATGAGCTGTTGCTCCTAAAGCATACTGTGTCTGAAATTCTCTTTGGGTCTCACCCCTGACAAAGAACCCCAGCCAATTAATCTTTTCAAGAATGTTTTTCAGTGATCTGGATAATAATGAGGATGCATTATACATGAAGTCAGGCCATTCAGAATCATTCTGAATCCCAATGTCAGAGCTTATGATGGTTATATCAAAAGCAAAAAAACAAACAAAACAAACACACACACAAAAAAAACAGTTAGTTCATAACTGTTGCATTTTGCAGTGGGATTTAAACCTTTATTAAAGTTGATGGAAAAACGGGCTTCTCGTCAACATTTCATTACACTTTAGAAAGTAAAGAGCAAAGACCTGAAGTGTGTATGCATCTTAAGAAGGCTTAATGGATTGGTTCTGAATAGTTAATTGCTTCTGCTCCTCAGAAGTCAGTGCAAAGAGAAGAGACTGAACTATGTGATATAAGGCAGTATTTCCCAAAGTTAGTTCCTAAGAACACGGCTAAGACCCTTTATAGTACTGCAATTCATTATTTGTGCTATGGACTCAGATAGTCTGTGTTGGAATCCTGTTTTCTATGCATCCTAACTGTGTGACCTTGGAAAAATCACTTAACCTCGCTGAGCTTCAATTCTTTCTATTTAAAGTAGGCAAAATCATACCATTACCTCACAGGGTTGTTTTAAAGTACTCAGCACAGTTCCTGGCATATATACATATGTACATATTAAATGCTCAATACATATTAGCTCTTTTAATTATTATCTCCACAAGATTTTCATAGATGTTAGATGACAAAAGGCTTTTATACTCAACTATCATTGACATCTAGGGTAAATAAAAGTCAATCAAGTTACTTTAGTTCACAACCCCTTAGAGTCTTTAATATGTTAATATTTGATATGAGTATCTGCAGGGAGTTTTAATATAGTAGGCAGGATTTTTTCAAATATATTTAGCGCCATATGCTTTACACGTAGTGTTTTGTGCAATTCATCTTCTGAGGCATGTGTTTTGGGAAACAACTATGGAGGATGGCATAAATTAATACCTTATTGTCAGATGGATAGAATCAAAATATACAACTAAAATAATGTTTAATCTAGGAGAGATGTGGAAGTCTGTCCACCAGAGCTGCTTGTGTCGCTTTCCTTTCACAGAAGGCTGTGTTCTGAATGGTTTAACTCGCGTGGCAGCAGGAATGTGGAGTGATAAGTGCACCCACTAGACCAGGTGATCTGTGCTGAAATTACATGAATATTACATAGGACCCAGTTGGGTCTCTGTACATCCAGTGGTACCAGCGCTGTTGTGGGTTTGTTTATTTGGATTCTATTCTGGGCTAGTTAATGCTGAGATCATAGGTGATACGCGTCCGCCTTCAAACATTATATGTAGGGGTCCTTCTCTGAATTCTGCATCTGTTGACAAAGCGTTCTATGTACTTCATCAAGAAGATGAAAGAAAGAGGCCCTAGCCTCAATGAGAAGAGCTCACTGGGACAGACCTTTTGACAGCAGCACAATTTCATCTAGTCAGTTAAAGCAACGTATTAAAGGAGAGGCAGTTAATGTGAACATGAAAGACATGCAGTTTTACAAAAGGAGAGTGGTAGGGACTAAGGCAAGGTGTAGGCCAAACTTTATGGGCACCTGCCAAACTTATTTCCAAAGAAGTCACACCATTTTACACTTTCACTAGCAGTGTATGTAAGTTCCAAGTGCTCTACGTCCTCACCAAGCTTTGGAGTTATCACACTTAAAATTTAGCCATGCTAGTAAATGGGCTCTAGTATCACATTGTTTTTAATGTGCATTACTCAGATGCTAATGATGTTGAGCACTTTTTCATGGACTTACTGACCACTAAGTAATGGTTCTTTTTCTGAGATGCCCGTTAGAATTTTTGACCTATTTTGCTATTGGGTTACTTGTTAGTGGTATATTATATCTCAAACATCTTTTGTCAGATATGACTTGTAAACATTTTCACACAGTTTGTGAATGTTTGTTTTGATGAGCGTAATTTTTTAAAGTTTCATGAAATCCATTTAGTAAGTTTCTTCTATTATAGCTAGAACTTTCTAGATTTTATATTAACATTCTTTCATTTATAAAGATTCTTCTTTTATACTTAGGCTTATGATCCATTTCAAAAAAAATGGTTTTCCATACAGAAACCAGTTGTTCTAACCTCATATTGAAAATTTTCTCCTTTTTTTATTGAATTGTTTTGACAACATGGCCCCCCCCCAAAAAAAGACTATGAATGTAGGTCTGTTTCTGCATTCCCTTTTCTGTTCTATTCATCTGTTTGTCTATCTTTACTCCAATACTACTTTGTCTTGATTAACAGCTCTAACGTAAGTCATGAAATCAGGGGGTAGGGGATAGTTCAGTGGTAGAGTGAATGCCTAGCATGCATGAGGACCTGGATTCAATTCCCAGTACTTCCATTAAACAAACAAATAAATAAACTGAATTACCTCCCCCTATAAAAAGGTTAAAAAAAAACACACATAAAGCAAGTCATAAAATCAGATACTTTATGTCTGCCCTCTTTTTTTTCTTTTCCAAGATTGATTTGACTCTTTTAGGAACCATATATTTTTTTCATGTGATTTTAGTATTAGCTTGTCAATTTCTAACATCAAAGCCTTGCTGGGATTTGACTGAAATTTTAGCAATATTGAGTTTTTAAATCCATTTACATGATATAGCTCTCAACTTATTTAAGACTAATTGAATATTCTCAGCAATGCTTCTTTTAGTTTTGGGTATACAGGTCTTGCACACATATTGTTAAATTCATCCATAAATATTTTGTTGTTGCTGTTATTATAATGGTATTTTTAAATTTTCATTTTTCCAACTGCTCATTGATAGAAAAGAAACATGAAATTAATTAGTTTATATGTTTTTATCTCGATCCTTTGACTTTTTCAAATTCACAAATTAAATGAGTTTTTTTGTTTTTTCCTTGTTTTAGCATTTTCTATACATTTGATCATGTCACCCATAGATAAACTGACTTTTACTCCTTCCTTTCCAAACTTCATACTTCTGATTTATTTTTCTGCTTATTGCATTCTTTTGAACCTCCAGTAGCATGATCAGCAGAAATTATGAGAACAGCCGTCTTTGCGTTGTTTCCTGTCTTACATGGCAATCATTCAGTTTTCACATATTAAATATGATGGGTTTTGTAGGTTTTTGTAGATGACCTTTATCTGCATGAGTGATTAGTCTTTTGTTTTTGGGTTGCTAAGAGTTTTGTTTTATTTTGTTTTGTTTTTATAGTGAATATCTGTTGAAGTGCATCAAATTCTTATCCATTGGAAGATCATAACGATCTTTCTCATACTCTGTCAATGTAATGCTTTCCATTGATTGATTTCAAAATGTTGATCCAATCTTTAATTTCTGGGGTAAACCCCCACATCATCATGATTTACTATCCTTTTTATATCTCTGCTTTGTCTCTTTGGTTTTCAATTTTTTCTTCTACAGAATTTACAATATTAATGCTGAACTTGCCATCATTTGTCTTGAACTAATCACTGTACATATTTTATGAGAACCTTAAAATGGCATATTTCCATTTCTTTTTTTCCTTTTTTTGTCTTATTGTTATGATACATTTCAATTTTGCATTTAGTATAAATATTTACAATACATTGGTATTATTTTTGCTTTAAGTAAGTATCTTTTAAATACATTAAGACCTGAGAAAAAAAGGTTTGTCTATTTATTTGCATATTTTCCATTTCTGGCACTATTCATTCTTGGTAACACTTTAGTCTAAAGAACTATTTAACGTTTCTGATGGTGCACATCTGCTGGTTGCAAATTCTCTCAACTTTATCTTGATTTGAAAATGTCTTATTTTATCGTAATGTTTATATTTCAGCATTTTATTAAGAAAGTTTTCACATGCATGGAGTATTTGAAAGAATTATATAGTGAATAATCATATACCTCGCCTAGATTCCATCATTTTGCTATCTTTGCTTTGTCCAGTACCTATCCATCTATTCATTCCTCTATGCATACATTAATGCATCTTATTTTTTGATACCTTTAAAGTAGTTACAGCATTTTTAATATTAGGATTTTATTTTTCAGTTTTTGAATTTGTAATTCTCCACCAAAATATCTGTATTGATATTTCTTATTTGCTTTTATAATGTTCATGGTCTTTTTTTTAAAATTCAACAGGTATATTTATAATGCTCATTTTAAAATATTTTCCTCCTAATTCCATCATCTTTGTCAATTCTGGTTCTGTTTTTATTGGCTGAATTTTCTTCTCATTATGGGTCACTTGTTTTTGCTTTTTTTCTGTCTAAATTTTTTTAGTCCTATTCTAGACTTGCGGATATTACACTATTGAGTGTCTGAATTTTATGAGTACCTGTTAATTTTTTTTCTAGCAGGTAGTTAATATACTTGCATAACAGCTTACCTTTTCTTGAAGCATCTTGCTCACCTTTCTAGAGTGGGTCCGAAGCAGCCTTTACTCTAAGGCTAGAGTGGATCTATTTTTAAGACATGTCCTCTCCAGGCTCTCTACTTAATACTTGAGAAGATGAATACAATTTCTTCAGTTTGAGTAGTCTTAACTCAGATGTCTCTCAGCCCTGTGTGTGCTTCTAGAATTGTTCAGTTTCCAGCACTCTAGTTTCTTTCCTGGCAGTTTTTCTTTCACTGGTACCTACTCCTTGCCTGCCCTTGTGAAGTGTCACGCTTATGTGCAAAGCTTTGTATTTTTCCAAAGACTTGTGAATTTCTAGCACTCTTTGTCTATACAGTTTTCTTCTCTCCAATACCCAGGCCTATAAATTCAATAGTCCTGAACTCTATTTTCAGTCTCCTCCTCTCAGTGTGAGTACTGCGCTTCGTCCGGTTTTCCCCTTCCTGTGCCATCGTTCCAAAAGTGCCTTAGGCAAAAAGCCAGGGTAATTGTGAGATTACCTTTTTTGTGTTCTTCCTCTCATAGATCACATTCCTGCACGACCAGTTGTCCAAACTTGAAAAACTATTATTTTAGATATTCTGGAGAAAAGGCTGCCCAGTTCAATTACTGCACTAAGGCCAGACGCTGAAGCCCAAAATGCACACGCTTTAACACAGTATGATAGCCAAACAAATCACGTCTGCAGGTCAATTCTATCATAGGATTTAAACAAAGCATCCTCTTTGTCTGCGATTCAGGAAAATGGTCAATATCACAGTAGTGAAAATTGTCAAGAAGTCCCAACAATTTAACAAAAAATAATCATAGGTTCTGTGGCAGAGAATACTTGGAAATTAAAGCAGCTGGTATTTGGCTGAGAGAGTCAGTGGATAGCAAGGCTCCCACTACAGTGATGAAGATGAAGAGCATAACTTAAGTTTTCAAGGAGAAACACAGTTGTAGACCAGTAACTTAACACAGGGAAAAAGCCTAGAGCTAAGGTCTTGGACTGGTTTAACCACGGGTGGTTAGCTGGAATTTTGGGGCTTTGAAGCCAGTCATTACTGTAGAATTTCAAAAGGGCTGGAGGGAATTCTAATTCAGGGAGTAACACCAGAGCAAGTGGCTAAATTTAACTCCATCCTGAATCAGATTATCAGTGAGATCCAAGATAGAAGCAGTTTAGGAGTCCAGTTTTGTCAAACTACATCACCCCTTTCTGATCGGAAGCCCTTTGGTCTGGGATTGCATCAGAGTACAATCTTTATGCCAAAATATCAGAGGTTCAAGGTAGGGCAGACAGAAAGTGTGGGCTGAGGGTCACGCTTCCCCTGCAAGCCAGCAAAGCTGAATGTGAGAGCACCTCCTGCATATGATTCAATCTATTTAGAAATTCAGGCTTGTGGATTATTAATCTTAAGAGTTCAGTTAGTTAAATAGCATTAGGAACTTCTTGCTATCATTATGAAGATGGCCCAACAAAATACAATCTGTATATGACACAAGTAAGTGTATGACACAAACAAAATTATAAAGCCCCACTAGAAATAAAATAGCCAGTAGTAACATGAATGTGGCAGAGGGAAAGTTACGAGTGCAATTGATCTCTTGATCATTAAGCAAAGTTAACTATTGATATTTTAAAAAAATCCATTTCAGGTAAGTGCATCCACTGATCTCTTTTTTTTTTCCTCCCTGTTACAAAATGTTTCCCCAAAGAGACCAACATAACTGAGTGAATCATGAAGATGACAGTAGGAATTACCCCACTGTGTTGTTAACATAGCATGTACTCGGAAATACCAAGGACACAGCAATTTTCATGCCAGCTACTCACATTGATCTCAGTAAATTCTCATCAACTGCACTTACATAGCTTCTGGCATCTTATGATGGGAGTTTTCTTATTTTCAAAAACCCACTGTTCACAGGACAAGTAAAAGAGTACCTGGTAATAATTCTGCGCTGCTGAGTCCCAGTCTACCTCTGCAGCAGTGTAGGATAATGAACTTGAAGCACAATGATTTTGTCTTTAATTAGAGAACTTCAGGGTCTGCTCCAGGCTGCTTACCATTTTCCCCTTAGGATATCTATCTGTTTTAAAGGAATTTCTCCACTCGTATAGGATCAATAATTGAACTTCATGGTAGTATTGTGCAAAGATCTCTGAACTTTGGAGTCAGGGAGCCTCAATAACAATCTCGTCTTTGAAGGAAATTATTCTATGGTTTATCTCGGCAAACACTTACCCCTTGCAATGTTCAAGTGTTCAAAGAGGCCTTTTCTCACCACCCTACCTGATACAACTCTCCTCCCTCAACCCCTCCCCTCGGTCGCCTCCATCACATTATTTTCTTTATAGCACTGATCACTCTCTAAAGTTAACTTATTTACACTTCCTTATTCACTTCCTTTCATTAGAATATTAGCTCTAAGGGGGAAGAGACCATTTCTGTCTTACCTACCATTATAACCTCGACAGCTTCTAGCAAGTAGTAGATGTCAATGAGTAATTGTCCAATCAACTGATAGTTTTAGCCACTCTTGCTTCAGATCCAGTAAATATTTTGTTCCTTTTTCAAACTCTTAAGTTTCAGTATCACAAGCTGATAAATCAGCCAAATGAAGTTACTAATACATTAGTATTACTAGATTTATTTTAAATATCCCTGAAGTGTCCAGGGTTATATCCAGAAATGCCCATTCAGATCCTAGAAGTTCTAAGGATAGGATGGACAAAGCAGTCTCTACCTGGAAGACTAAATGCACAGTTGAATGGGGAGTGAGAGTGGAGAAGCAGGCTTACAGACAAACTACAATATGATAAGAATGTTGTAGAAGAATTATAAACAAAAGAAAGTGGGAATTTCTGTCAGTCAGATGTCATGTTGCAGGGAAGGTGTATTCCAAGAAAGGTCATAAAAATAATAACATTTGATCACGATCTTAAAAACTGAAGAATGAGCAGGGACTATACCAGCCAGAAGTCGCAGCATGAGCAAAGGCACAAAGTTAAATCCTCATGATGTTTCTGAGGAAAGGACAGTGGCCAATGAGGCAGGTCGTTGGTGGTTTGATTGTGACAGACCTAGTTTACAGAGTTAATATCTAGTTTTTACATAATTGATAATTACCTCACTTGACTTGATAATTTCAAATAAATGGATAAGGGGCTTACCACATACAAAATAAGCAGATAATGTGAAAATCTGTCCATATCTGGCTATTACAAGTCAACCTTTAGAATTTGTAGACCTTAGAGATTCTTCAAACAATACTCAACATTTGGTGGATATCCTCATTTTCTGCTCAATAATAATATTTTTGAGGCCTATTGACAAATATAAAGAAAAGGGAATTAAATTTCTCCATATGGTGCTGGACAAGAGGAAGAAATTAAGACTGATGGAATCACATTAAAATTTTGGCTCCATCTTAACTTCTCCAACAATTAAAATTCTACCAATAGCATAAGCTGGTCCAGGTAAGAGATAGACAAATGGAGTTAACACATTTCAAAAATATTTTTGAAGGGATTCAGGTATCAGACTGTAAGTTGAATTGGATGACCTTTTTTTTTAACTTTTTAATGATTTATAATCATTTTACAATGTTGTGTCAAATTCCAGTGTAGAGCACAATTTTTCAGTTATACATGAACATATATATATTCATTGTCACATTTTTTTCTCTGTGAGCTACCATAAGATCTTGTATATATTTCCCTGTGCTATACAGTATAATCTTGTTTATCTATTCTACAATTTTGAAATCCCAGTCTATCCCTTCCCACCCTCTGCCCCCTTGGCAACCACAAGTTTGTATTCTATGTCTATGAGTCTATTTCTGTTTTGTATTTATGCCTTGTTTGTTTGTTTGTTTGTTTAGATTCCACATACGAGCGATCTCATATAGTATTTTTCTTTCTCTTTCTGGCTTACTTCACTTAGAATGACATTCTCCAGGAGCATCCATGTTGCTGCAAAGGATGACCTTTTAAATCCTTTACCATGCTAATATTTTGTTTTAATTTGTATATCATCAAAGTCTATTCAAATCATCTAATAGTTAAAAATACCTTCTGTGCTAGTTTCTGGAAACAAAAAGATAAATTTGCCACAGTCTAGCATTAAAATGTAGTGCTTAACCCCTACTATGTTATCTCTGCTTGTTCACACATGTAAGTCAGGTTCACGGCTATTTGCAGGGTAATGGGTCACCGTGATCACTGCGTGGAAATCAGTTGTTTCTTTGTTGTTTACTCCAACGATAGCTCCAAGATACACAGTGGAACTGGCGTGTGGTTTTGGAGCCACGGTCCTGTTGGTGGTGATTCTCATTGTGGTTTACCATGTGTACTGGCTGGAGATGGTCCTGTTTTACCGGGCTCATTTTGGAACGGATGAAACTATTTTAGGTGAGTAATGGAAGTTTGATGTAAATCTCTTCTCCTGTCATCTTTAGAAAACACATTGGCTTAATGAAACCTAGATTAACTGGAAGATTTAATTAGATGACCTTTGGTTTTAGCCATTACTATTGAAAAGCATTCTAATGCATATTATTCTGCTTTCTTGGGTCAATATGTGATTTAGTCTAGATAGGAACTATTCATATAGAAATATAATGCAAGCTGCATATGTAATTTTAAATTTTCTAGTGGTTACATAAAGAAAAGCAAAAAGGAAGTGAAGATCATTTTAATAATATATCTTATTTAATTCAATATATAAAAATACTATCATTTTAGCTTGTAATTAATAATTTAATAGAGATATTTTAGGCTTATTGTTGGTACTAAAAATTATTCAAAATTCAGTATATTATTACATTTCATACTTATGGTGTATCTCAGTTCAGACCAGCTGCATTTCAAGTGTTCAGTAGCCGCTCGTGGTCTGTAGCTAATGTACTGGCCGGTGCAGAGCCACACCCTGTACTCACGTGTGGTCCATGTACCAGAAACATCATATGGGAGCTTATTAAAGGAGAATCTGAACCCTAACTCCTATCAGAAGCTACATTTTAACAATATTCCCAAGTGATCCATGTGCACATTGAACTTTAAGTAGCAGTATTCTAGTGTATATGTGCCTGGTGACAAGAATGAAACATTGAAACATACAGTTTCTTACATGCATCCCATAATGATTCTCACTGAGCAGGTTTGTGGAAGAGACACAGAACCTGTATTCTTAATGAGAGGTGATTTTTATAGTTAGACAACTTTGGGAAAGATTGGTTTATTGAATCTAAGTGTATTTTATATTGTAGATGTTCTTAAGTATAAATAATTTAGACAGTTTCTCAAAGTTTTGCTCAATTTATAATTCTAATATCTACACACGAGGACAGGAACTAGAAATTTTCTGCAAGATATTATGACTATGATTGACTAACTATTTTCTTCCCGATTGTATTAATTCATAGTTGAATGAGCCAGACCTCACTCATCCTCCACTACAAAATCTGAGCTCGGTGAGATGAGAACAAAAACACCTCAGATAAACATTGCGATTACACCTTAAAATAGTCATTTTGCCTGGAGACCTGTCACAAGTGGGAAATCACACTGAAATCTGTCAGCTAATTCATATATGTAAAAAATGAAAATGTCTAATATTCAAAAGTTAGATTTAAGGGAAAATGCAATACTATTGAGAAACATTCCTAATTTATATTGGGTCTGTGTTTTGTGGTTTTTGTTTTTGTTTTGCTAGATGGGAAGGAATATGATATTTATGTGTCCTATGCAAGGAATGCTGAAGAAGAAGAATTTGTATTACTGACCCTCCGTGGAGTTTTGGAGAATGAATTTGGATACAAGCTGTGCATCTTTGACCGGGACAGTCTGCCTGGGGGAAGTAGGTATTATCAGATGAGGACAAGTGATGCTACCCTGAAAGGCAGAGGAGATTCTTAGCTTTGGGTCACATATGAGAGTCACGGCTCTGCTTTATGTTGGCATCTTTGGACATTTGTCCAGTTCTTTGATGCAACAGACAGAGACTCTCTAGGAATAAATCTACATTATAAGATGCAGACTATTCAACTGCAGTTTATGGTATTAAAATATTTTCCCTTGTAAGCTTTTAGAAACTCGATGTTATAAAACTGTAGATTCACAGTGGATTAGAGCTCTGTTAAATGCCATAGCTTTAAGCATCCTTTTTGACTCACATTTAGATTTTTAGAACGTTTAGCTTATCTGCATTAATTTGCCTACAATATTTTACAAAGACTGAGTTGAAACAAAACACTTTTTATAAAGAATCAGGTTTACTCAATTTTACTGAAAATGAGGTTTAGAAGAGAATGCACGGAATCCTTTTTTAATATTACTTACTGGTAATAATTAGAACATTTCCCTTTGGCATTTCCTAATTTCCTTTTCTTCACTTTTGTTTTCTAGCAAACCAGTGCTACTCAAATTCCCTCTTTGCTTGAATATATCCTTCCTTTCTATCAGCTTATACATTTGAGATGAGTTTAAAATTTTACAAAGGCCAGTATACTCTAATAGTTTAAAATGAATGTTGAATTGCTGAATGTTTTAAAATAAAAGTACACCTCTATTTTTCAGGTCCACACAGTGACACCTAAAATGATCGCGAATGTTGAATCTGTTTTATAAACACATAATAGCACTTTTAAATAGTTAAAATACATGTAATGTCTCTAATATTCACAAGGAACTAATTTACTTTCTTCCTCTAAAATCCTGTTTAAATTAATCGCTTAATTTTTTTTGAATGTTATATTGACAATTGAGATAGTTAATGTCGATTCTTTGAATTAACTGGATCACTTTATGTCCCCATGCATCACCAAAAATCCATCATGTTTATGTTCTACAAAGGAAATCTTCAGGATAATTTTGCCAGAAAAATGATGACTTGACTATACAGTTGAAGGCTAAATTCATTTTATGACTTAATATCCTAAATGATTTATTCATCCATTTAGTCATTCATTCAGCCATTCAACAAATATTGATCTACCATGTGAAAAGTTACATAAAGATACACAGTATAACAGCAGTAGAGGTTGATAGCTCTTTGAAGATTTAAAGTTCTACATAATCACTCTTGCATCTTGCTTCTGATGGTTGATCCTCGTGATCTTTTCGATTCTCCCTACTGCTCTCACTCAGTCCTCTTTGCCTCTGGGTCTCTTTCCCTGCTTACACATGATCAACCTCCAGCAACACTGCTTGGAGTAGATAATTACTTATTCCTGGATTCAACTCCAGACTGCACATGCTGTTTTAATTGCAAGTCTTTCCCCACTGCCTCTACACCTGTGAAGATTAAGATGCAAAATGACCACCTAGGGGTAGGCCATGAAGTAGCTTTCCACAATGCTAGTGCCTTCCCTGGAGCTGGCTTCTCTCTGACCCCCAGGTGAAGGGTTATACAGTCCTTGATGAGCAACCTCGAGGAGATGGATTATCCCCAAGAGTTTACTGACAGGAACTAATCAGAGCCCTTGAAAACAGCATGAAATTACACTGCATTTCCACTTTCCTTGTTTTTTTTCTTCTTATTTTTGACCTGAAGAAAGCATTTGCTTGTTAGCGAAGGCACACACATCAGCTAGCAGCTGCCGAAACACATGGCTTCACAGTAATGGTAGGAGTTTAAGGAGAAAGATCCAGGGACTAATTTAGGCTCCAGAGGAGAGAGCAGAATAGAAAGCTGAGCTGCGAATGTGATGCCAGCCAAAATGCCATTCAATTGGCTAAATTTTCTAAAGTTCCTGTTCCAATGAAATAGTGATACTAGTCTGGGTCGAGGGAGTGTCTGGCAATACAGGGGGACTTTCGGAAAATGAAGGGTCTTACTCTTGTGGTTCTGTGTTAATGGAGAATGAATTTCTATGACTTTGACTCTATAATGTTTATATTTTTGAATGTTCACTGGCTATAGAGAGTTGATATATGGGTATTTTGGGGGAGAAAGGGCCCAGGAGCTGATTTTGCTGGGTCACAACATGCCACATAGTTTGAAGAAATTGATTTCAGTACAACCCATTTATTCTTCGTGTCCCAAATAATGCTTTTGAAGATCAAGGTCATAGAAATACATTTTGGCTTTATGGCTGTTTGGAATTCTTTGCAGGTTGGAATATGTGCATATAGTTTCTCTTCTCCCTGAAGAGAGTGACATTTTGTGAACAGAGTGATCGGGTCTAAGGGTTAAGTGTTCTTGGTGAAAACTTTCACCTCCATCCTCAGGCTGCTACCCTAATTTCCTTTCACTTGCTGCTCAAGCCACATACTTTTGGGGAGTTCCTGGCCGACATTAATCCCCATGGTGTTTTCTTTCCCAGTTGTCACAGATGAGACCTTGAGCTTCATTCAGAAAAGCAGACGCCTCCTGGTTGTCCTAAGCCCCAACTACATGCTCCAGGGAACCCAAGCCCTCCTGGAGCTCAAGGCTGGCCTAGAAAACATGGCCTCTCGGGGCAACATCAACGTCATTTTAGTACAGTACAAGGCTGTCAAGGAGATGAAGGTGAAGGAGCTGAAGAGGGCTAAGACGGTGCTCACGGTCATTAAATGGAAAGGGGAGAAATCCAAGTATCCGCAGGGCAGGTTCTGGAAGCAGCTGCAGGTGGCCATGCCAGTGAAGAAAAGCTCCAGGTGGTCTAGAAGTGGCGAGCAGGGTCTCTCCTATTCATCCTTGAAAAATGTATGAAAGGGCCAATGAAAGGAGTAAAAAGATCTAAGGGTACTCCAGGAAGGAAGAGTTCACCTTTCTTTATTCCCCAATTCATTGTTTCATGGACAGAAAAACAATCTATGGACGCCTCCCCATGGAGATAAGTTCAGGGTGACTGTGTGACTGGCTGTTGCACTTCCTCAGGCAATACCAAGGTTTAGAATGACAGTGCCGCCTTCCGTCACCAGCATCTGATGTCACTAGGTTCACTACGTTCTTTGCAAACAAAGACTTGGTTGATGTGAATTTCCCCGGCATCCTCCATTCCCGGTCCTGCGTGTCTCTATTCCCTCTCTCTCTTTTAACAATCTTAACATTACGAGGCAGCCTTCTGCTGTGGATTTAAAGACCTCTTAAAGATAAGTCGTTAACAGGGTCACCATGAGCTTCCAGGTAGAGTTTTCTTTCTCTTTTATTTTTACTCATCCACTAAAAAGATAATCCAGGCCTAAATGTATTTTAGCTAAGGATAATGAGCTCTTTTGCTCACTCTGCTGTGCATGGCAGCATCACAGCAAGACTGACACCCACTTGGAGCAATACAAAGCACTGGAACTGAAAATGTTCCTTATAATTGGTTTAAAGGGCTTGCCTGTATTGTCTCCTACTATGCTCCCCCGCTGGGTGCCCTCTTATCTCAGGTAATTGATGTCATATCTGTCAACTTGAAAAATATATCCCAGTTTTTTATTACAGTAAACTCCTGATAGTCCATAGGTTGACCCATATTGATCACTCCATCTCCCTGTCTACTGCACCTTGTGTCAGTCATTCAGAGTCTGCAGGTGGCTCCACACTTGGTTAAGTCTGATAGGAAGCTTCTCTTAATGGTGCTAAAAGCAAGTAGAATAACAGCAAAATGCTTTTAGGGTATTTTCTGGCTTGTGAAAACAGCACAGAACAGAGTGTTTGTCAATTTGTCTTTTAATCTCAGCCTTGCTAATGTGAATATTAGGAAGGTAATTTCTCCTCACTTTTTTCTCTTTCCCAATTGTAAAGTGTGACAGACTCAGTGACCTTGAGAGTTGCTTTTAGCATTACTATTTTAAGAGCATTAACTGGACCCCCAAGTATTTTTCATATGTTATTCACTGGTACAGTTAATAGACTCACTCCAAACAAAGTCAGTGTGAAAAGTCATTGTCAATGAAATTTGTTTTAGTTTGTTTTAAGTAAACTGTTACTGTTCTTAAGACTTGGAAAAGTGAAAACTAAGTCTAGAGTTTACAGAGTGGTGATTATCTATATGTTAAATATAGATTTTTAAATATATATGTATATACACACAAGAATTATATATATGTATATATATTGCATATACACATGAATTACATATATATACATATATACTTGAATTGTATATATAAATATATATACACACACATATACATACACATATATACATATGACTTCAAATAGTCATTGGCACAATATCACAAAGTAATGGAACTCTTATCCAGTTTTTAAATTATGTTCTTTACTGTAACACTTTCGTGTCAGTGTTTTCTGCACATTAATAATTGTGAATTTACAGCTAACAAAGTGTTAGTTGTTGTTAGTTCTCGCCTTCCCTAAATTAGTATAAATAACTTACTACTGCCACAGTTGATCTGGGTGCATAGGAATCCGTTGCACACAGCACTTCCAAGGTCACTGCTACGCAATAGCCAGTCCTCTGGCATTAACTCATCGTCTACTATGTAACAAACACATACACTTAGAAACTAAGCTATGTTAATGTTTGTACTCAGCTACTAGAGAGGTAAATCTCTATTTGGATTGACAAGCAATAAAGGAAAAGAAAATAAAAATACCTATTAATCAGCCTTGATATCCTATGAAACACAATGATTCATAATTTAAGGAAACCCTTAAATTAGTAATACGAATGTTGATAAGCAATTCTAAAACTACCTCCTATATTTCAGTGTCCTTTGGAGGTATTAACGTCTATATAATAAATCACTTTTCTTAGAGGAGTTATTGATTATTTTAAATTTAAAAAAACTTCATGAATCGTTGACCATAAACTATGGTATAAAGGTACTCTTGAATCCAAATTTTTTAGCCTTATTAATGCTTTTTGTTATTACAAACCACAATTACTCCTCCTTTTAACCTTTGACTCACAAGACCAGAGGAGAGCTGACTCCAGATAAGCTTTGAATATCAATTCTAGCGTGAACTTCAGGTAACTGGGGGACAGTCCCATCAGGAAGGGGCCAGCCATTCTATTGCCAATGCTGCATTCTTTTTGCACTTTTGAATTTCCTATTTACCCCAAGTGCCGTTTGGTTTCCCTAGAAATTTCTTGATGCTTCTGGTCTATTTATATTCCTGTCTTTGGTACTGAACGTTTCCAAATGCTTAAATCTAAAGCAACTCAAATCTAAATGATGTCTTATCCTAAGAGAATTTTGCTTCAAGATTTTTTGTTTATGTCTCAGAAGATGCCTAATACAGAATATTTGAGGGAAATGGAGAAAGATAATATGGAGAGCAAGAAGAAATTGCTCTCTGATGTTAAAAAAGAAGTATCTAATGTGAAAAAAAAAAACCTTAATGGTTTTAGGTATATGATATGAAGACCTTCTGCACCCAAATTAACAACAACAACAACAACAAAAAAAAAACATGATCTGTAGAGTGTCTAATTACACAATCATATAAAATTATTTAATTCTTTTCTGCATTGTAATTTAGATGATTCCATAGGATTCTAATAAACAAACACTCCACTGTATTGGGAAACAAAAGCATCACTCCATTGTTAATTATCAATTTTCTTTCCATAGGTTTAATATTTTAAGATTATCTTTTTTAATTTTATTCATAAACTTTTGTATTTTCCATTTTCCCTTTAATTTGTAAATTTGTTTATTTTGAAAATAAATCATTTATTTTCAGCTTTGAATTTTATTTTGTGCATGTTTTTTGTCTTTATTTTCATGTTTGGGCATAGGAAATGATAATAAAAAGAATTAATGATACACTTAGAAAAAGAAATGTTATAAGGGACATTCATGTTCTCTTTCTGAGAAAATTCTTAGAAAGCTGGCAACTTCATCTCCAGAACATTTTCTTTACATGTGAGTTAAAGAGTTAAGTAAAATGGATTGATCTAGTATACCAAGTGTGTGTGTGTGTGTGTGTAGAGAAAGAGAAAGAGAGAAAGAATAACAAAGAGGCAGAGAGGAAGAATGAGAGAGAGGAGAGAGGGAGAGAGAGGAGAGAGAGAGTTTTAAAATAAAGACACAAGCCTATTCTGTTTTGTTCAACTTGGAACTTAAGTAGATTACAGGAATCGTTTACCATATATAGGTTTTAATGCAACCCTAAGGCAATTGCTTCGGAATGAGATTAACTAATGTCTTGCCTTTAGTTAACAGATGATCATTTGAATCAAAGATACATTTCTTTCAGAAATTTCAAACAAAGCAGTGATAAATATTTGGAAAGGCATTTTCTTTTGAGTTAATATTAAGCCCATAGTAATAGGAAAGTCTTACTTTAAAAAAAAAATCTCAAGTATTCATTTATTCCAAGAATATTTATTGGATCCCTGTAACTGGGCTGGTTAGCTTAGTAAAAATTTTCCTACTGAAGAATTATCCTGTTTTAAATCAGTCTCCAAAGAGGAGGCTTAGGATCAATGGATGAAAGTTATAAGAAAATTTCTACTCATTCAGGAAACAACTTTAGAGTTGAACAATAATTTATTTCACTATCTTTGGAGATATTAGGCACCCCGATACTAGAGGTATACAAGCAGAGACCTGCTGGATCTTACTGAGGTTTTGTTAAAGGGTGTTTTGCATTTTGGATAAATGACACTGAGCTTGAAGTTGCTTCCAGCTTTGAAAATATTAAATGATCTCCTAGCATATAGTGGTGACTATTTTCAGTATCAGCAGGTTTCAATATCAGTAGTTTGGGTATCATGGCCACCTAGCTATTACTGACCTTTTTAAAACTCGCAATATATTTTTTTAGTCATTTACTGAGGTCACCAGATTTTTGACACAAGTAAATTTATAGTATGAAAGAAGAGATACATTCAGCAACTGGGTTATTTCTGTTTCTACCCAATGGAGATGGCGTATCTTTAGCAATGGGCTAATCGACTAAATATTCCAGTAGTATTTTATCCATATTTCTTTTAAGCTGAATAGGCAGAATTTGAAAACTTACTGTTCTCTTATAAACCCACATTTTAAGGTGATTCTCTAATGTTACTGTTAGGAATTGATTCAATCAACATTAGTCCATGCATTATTTTAATGTTGTGTTCGCTAAACATTGAATAATAATTTAATCAAAGTGATCAGTTCCAATGTGTACCATGTGCTAGACATTTACATATAGTTATCGCTTAAGTGTCTAACAATCCTACAAGTTTGCTCTCCTCATATGTATTTTATAGGTAAATGAACTCAGACTTTTAAAAATATTAAAATAAATGATTGTATTAAATAAGATAAATGGAGAAACCAATATTTGAATTCAGATTCATCTTCCAAATTAGGTGCCCCCATTTTTTTTAAACTGCACTTCAAGTTTTGAGAGAGGCTGAGAGAGAGAGGCTTGCTCCTCCTTCATATACCAATAACCCAGCCAAAGAACAAAAGTACAGCTTTAGCTTTCTTCTGGTTTTCTTTCTACTCCCTAGTGAATACCAGGGTGATTATGACTTCTACAGGCAGGTGTATTATGGAGTATTGAAGAGTTCTTGATCAGAAAATTTAACTTCAAAACCAATTTCATACCACACAAGAAAACTGGCCTTATCGATCTATAACCACACTTGATTTTTTAAGCCAAATAGAATAAACAACCTAGTTTACAACTTCCTCTCCAAATAATCTTCAGATTAAGAACAATAATTCACATCTTCAAATATAAAGTTTTGACAATATGGAAGATACTAAAATGTGCCACAAAGAAACAGCTTCCTTCGGAGTATTATGCGAAATCCCTAGGTATAGCCCAACCTCACCTGAGAAGCATCTCCTGTATTCCATTCCTCAGTGTCTGGAATTCCACTCCTCATGTTTGCTTTTTTTTTTTTTTTTATTACCCTCTTTCAAATGCAAATCCTACGCTTTCAGGGTGGGGTACCAAAATTTAAAAATCTTTTTAAAAGCACCAGGCTCTAAAGACAATTTTCTTTAGAAAATCTGGGACAATGTTTTATTTTCAACAATGGTATCCCCATTGGACAGAACAGACATTTTCCCAAAGTGACCATTTTGAAGTGAGACATACACACACATGCCACACGCACAATGTAAGTGCACAAGTATTTTGTTGTTCCTGAAAACTATCCATTTTATTTTAAGGTTACATTGTATTTATCCTGAGATGAGAAACAGTAAAATTCTACTCTCACATTCTCAGATTTATGAAAGGCATCTACATAAGATTCTGAGTAGAACCAGAAAGGACAAAGGAGTTACCAAAACACACACGCACGTAGGCACACACAGACTTTGAAGATGAGTGAAAATTTAGATGTATCTTTTAAGATTGAAACAAAAATTATCTAAAATACTTTGTGCTCTTGATAGACCCAGTCAAAATTTCTTAAGCATTAACGTGTCTCTTTTGACTACCTTCAAATTCATGTGAAATTCAAAAACTGGAAAGAACGAATCTGGTAAGGAGCACATCTCCTTCATTGCCTGTCAAATTCATGATCCAGTTCCCTGCAGACTTTCAGCTTGTCTTCACAGGCTGCGAAGCTTCTCAGTCAGTGTTTCGCCCCTGGCCTCAAAAGCTTAGGTACTCAACTTCATGGTCTGTCTGCAGCATGTTTTCCCTGTTGTCAGTGATGGCTATTTATACATTTGGAATTCCTTTTCTTCAGAAAAATCGCATCATTTAAGCTCTAAATATCACAGTGAATTAAGCACTGCGTTTATCTCAAGAACTTTCCACTGGGTTCTGTCCAAATTTACCTCAGTAATCATTAGAATTGAATGCTTGGTGAAAAGTCTTAAATAATTGACTGATTCTTACCCACTGTCATTTTTGTTGATTTTAATTGATTTTCAGACCAATTCTTCACACACACACACAACATGCACATACATGAATAAAGAATTTTGGTTGACAACATGATCGATACTATGAACTGCCTGATGAGTCCAAAAATTTCAAATACCAAGAGATGTAATTATGTGACTCTTAGGAAGTAGCAATTCCCTATTGATCTTTGCTGATTAGACTGTCTGGAGCATCCTGTTCAGTCCTGTTCAGGATACCACTCTTAGGAGACACATATATAAACTGAAAATTTATGATTTTATAATATAAAATTCAGAAAAAAACACAAAAGTGGAGAAGAGACTTCACACCAGGTCATATGGAGAATAAGATAAAAATCCTGAAGTTCTTTAATCTGGTGATGAGAAAAACATACAAGATCACAATAATTGTGAAATAGTTCAGATATTTAAAGATGTTACATATAAGATCACCAAATAAAAGTGGAAGTAAAGAACATTTGAAAACAAGAAATTATTTACCAACTGAGCTGAAATGAGCTGCTTTTAGAGGTGGTTAGTTCCTCACCCTTGAAGGCAGCGAATACTTAGCAACCATTGGAAAAAGTGGTGTAGGTGATACTCCTTAACTGGGTGGATTATTTCGAATGTAGATCCTATATCCCCAAGTATTATTCATTGCCTGTCCTTTGTAGGATGGACAATGATGAACTGAAACTTATAATATAAGTTTTCACTAGGCATTGTCCTATCTTTCCATTTTCCTGTAGATACAGTGGAAGCAGTTTTTGACTTCATTCAGAGGAGCCGGAGGATGATTGTTGTTCTGAGCCCAGACTATGTGACAGAAAAGAGCATCAGCATGCTGGAGTTCAAACTGGGTGTCATGTGCCAGAACTCCATCGCAACGAAGCTCATTGTGGTTGAGTACCGACCCCTTGAGCATCCGCACCCAGGCATCCTGCAGCTGAAGGAGTCTGTTTCTTTTGTGAGCTGGAAGGGAGAAAAATCCAAACATTCTGGCTCTAAATTCTGGAAGGCCTTGCGGTTGGCTCTTCCCCTGAGAAGTCTGAGTGCCAGCTCTGGCTGGAATGAGAGCTGCTCTTCCCAGTCTGACATCAGTATGGACCATGTTCAAAGGAGGAGAAGCCGTTTGAAAGAGCCCCCAGAACTCCAGGGCTCAGGGAGGGCCGCAGTTGCCTCTCCAGCCCCGGACACAATGTCCAAGCACAAAGGGAAGCCTTCTGCAGCCTGTCGCTGCTGCGTCACCTACTGTGAAGGAGAGAGTCACCTTAGGAGCAAGAGCCGGGCAGAGATTCACACCCAGCCCCAGTGGGAGACACACCTCTGTAAGCCTGTTCCCCAAGAGTCAGAAACTCAATGGATACAAAATGGCACCAGATTGGAACCCCCTGTTCCCCAGATCTCAGCCCTTGCTCTCCACCATTTCACGGATTTATCCAATAACAATGACTTTTATATCCTATAATTACGGTGTGGTGGGTGGTGGCTCCTATCTCAACCAGCCCATTTTGTGTCATGAACCTATGGGAATAACTGACATTTTTATCATCTAATGGACTATCAGATTGTGCCCCCTTTATTGATTTTTAAAAC